AGAAAAAAATTGTAATGATACGGTGAATATTAAAACGTCAGACATATTTCTAAATTTCTATAAAATATTATGTATAAAATGAGAAAGTAACAAACTTTTAGAATTGTTTCAAAAGCATGCTTTTATATATATAGTTCCTTTGCAACTGTAAAAATGGCTTACGATGTCATAAACTATTTTGAGAGTACTATAATAGTTTTATTGATAATCCTTGGAAATGAACTTAGATTGCAATTAATAAGGTTTAGAAATAAGAGTATATAGTGGTAAAAATGTTAAGAAATGAAAAGAATTATGGAGATGAAACCTGCAAACTGGCCACTTGCATAAAGTGTGGTTGTTCCTTTCAAGGTTAAAAGGTCAGAAGATCCCCAACAAAGATCTTGGGATAGATTTTACCAGTTTGTTTATTAATTTCTGACAATGAAAAAGGCTGTCTTGGCCTTTGGTAAACATAAACATATACTATAATATCAGTAGCAAGTAGCGGTAAGGTTTCACTCAACATTTGAAGATCGAAACATGGAAGACATGATTGAATAATTCAGGCACATCTCTCATAGGATTTGTTTCTTGTTGCTTTGTCATCAACTGTTTACTAAGGAAATGTTGGTGCATTGATGAAAGAACCAAATGCAGCAACATATTGTATTTGTATGACGTGAAAGATGGTTAGATATATGTTTTCGATGAGAAATAATAAGGTAATATATATTTACATTCATTTGATATATATAATAAATATAAAATAGTTATAAATAATTTTATTTTTTTAGAATTTTTTTAAAATATCAAATAAATATAAAAAATTTGTGTGTGAAAATATCATTTATATATCACGAGACATAAAAAACACTACCTGTGTTTGAGACAGAGAAAGGAAAATGCCAATTTTGTGTGTGCTATTTTCTCGACAAAGCCTGGTCCCAAACACTCTATTATATGCATGCATATCTATTCAATAATTAATCTCATGCAGGATCTTGTCCCAACATATACTTTTTAACTTATAATAATAATTATACAAAGTTTATACTCAGTGTTTTTTTTTTTCTTTTTCCTTTCGAAAAAGCATATAAATATGATGAGAATTACTAAAGTGTGTCATTCAATTGAATGGGAGAAATTAATCAGTCTTTATTACTATCATTCAACAATTCTTATCCATAATTTTAAAATAATTAATAATAAAATATATATTAGAATCCAGATTATTAGTATAATATTTTTTAATTAGAACTCGATCTACTTAATCTACTAAAATAACCTGCAACACACTTAAATAATAACTTATTACATCAGACACTTGTTATGATTTAATAAAAACTAAAATAAATAAATAAAAAGAGAAGTTGTTATCAACTATATTGAACTTGCCAATTATAAGAAATTAACAAAATGCACACCTGCATGCTTAAAGGTTAATGTTTATATTATCTTTCCATCAAAACTTATTGACTTTAGTGATTACTGTTTAAACTTTATATTAGTAATAATTTTTAATAAGTTATAACATGAAAAACATATGATGAAGGGAAACCCGATCAAATGTTACGTATAGTATACGGGATATATATGTTTCTTTAAATAAAAGAAGAAACATATAACTGACTATTTGATAAACAATTTTTGAAGTAATATGTTAACATTTATAATAAAAAAAAATAATCATTTGACAAAGAAGATATTAATATTTTTGTATTATTTTTTATGGTTAATTCAAAGCATTAATATATATTATTAAAATAGTTAGGAAAGGAGTATTTTTTTTTAAGAATTACCAAAATTGTTTTTGTCCCGATAGTTTTAGACTAATTGCATAGTAAATGAATCAATATATATTTTATAAAAATTAAAAGAACGTGAATGAAAACTGGGAATTTGAAAAACTTTATTGAGTCTAATTTGATATATTTCTCGTGTAAAAAAATAAATTAATTTACAGATAACATTTAAAGTATTTATTATAAAATTAATAGTTTTGTCACGTGATTATCTACAATTTAAATAAGTACACGCTGATAATCTAAAATAATTTTTTATTATCAATATTGAATGCAAAAATATAATTAATATGATTTTTAATATTTTTTTAAAATTCATTAAACTTGTATGCATAATAATTTAGTATTGAATAATATCAGAATTTAAGTTCTTTATATACTATCATCAGGATCAATACATGACTAAGAGAAGAGTAATTTTGTTTTATACTAGCAAGTATTAAATTCAAATATGACTAATAAAAAATTAGATAAAAATTCTCACTAAAAAGACAACAATGTCCTTTAATAAATTGGTACGATTACCACGTCAAAATTGATGAAAATTAATTTTTATAGTCATCGTGTTGTAATAAAAAATATACAATAGTTTGGATAATAAGCTATCCCTGGCCTGAAAACTGTGATTAATAAAGAAAAACACAGAAAGTAAGACTATCAATTTTACCTAAAGAAGTAAAAGTCAACGTCATATATTTTTTATAAAATAAAATTATATCCGGTATAATTATTTATTTGACTTGCATAAATTATTTAATTAGGTTTAAAAATAAAGAAAATTGGTTTATAAAAATAAAATAGAAATGAACAGTTAGATAGAGAAAAACTTAAACAGTGAATTTGGACTTTAATTTCATCCCCTAATGGGTTTATATTCTCTTCCTTTGTCATTAATGCAATATTATATATTATTTATTATTATTAAATAATTCCATATAATTTTTCACATACAATTTTTTTATATTTTTATTTTCTTTATTAAAATATAAAAAAATATTTTTATATAACTATTTTCCTTTTATAATACGTGTTTAATAAATAAATATAAATGTGTGTATCACTGTATTATTATATGATAAATTATAAAAAAAAAAGTGAAGCAATCATGCATGTTAAATATGTAGTGAATACATTTTTTAGACAGTGAAATGAAATCACACTGCAATTATTTGAGATATTCCTTAATTAGTATTGAGTGACAGCAAGGACATACAAAATAATTGATATAGGTCTGCTCTATCAACGGATCGAGACAAATAGACGAAGGTTTAAGAGAGCATAAAAAGGTGGAAGAATTAAAACTATACCAGAAGCAATAACATATATACTAGAGATTATTTTAAGGTCTTCCACAGGTACATCAACTTCTCTATCCTTAAAATATATCATTAATTTTCACAATTTGTTTTTTTTAAAGATTTTTCATAATTCAACTCTCCTTTTCTCTTTTTAACATATTAAATATGATCATTAAAGTTATAACCATGAATTATGTGAAGTTTATTGACGTATAAGTGCAGGAAAAATTATAGCCATGGATTATGAGAAGGAATCATTTGGTAGATATAGGGACAAACCAATGACTCATATGAACCCGTGTAAGTATCATGCGAATTATATCTATGTTTTTATATCTAAATAGAAAATAAGTAATTAAAGTTAGATGAAGACATATAATTAATTCTTATATATTTAAAACTAAATAGTTCATTTAGATGGAGGGAAAAACAGTGTAAATTAACAGAAAATTAACTGAAAACATATTAATCTGAGAAGAGCACTTGGTCCTTTGTGTTGGTTAAAGGAAGAGGTTTAATTAATTAATTAGAAAATGTAGGTAGGTAGTGCATAATAATGATGATTAAAAAAAGTGTATAAGTACGTGCCCCCATGCAATCTAAGGCTTAGATTGTATGATTTTGTAATTTTGGGACCCTTGAGAGTTGGGAATAGCTAAGGTAGAGGTTGGTTTGAAATGGGAACATAATTCAGTGATTATGACCTTATCATTTTACATACAGCTAGCATAGGAGACACAAACATATGCTTATGTTACAAGTGCCTAATTACATTGCCAATAATAATTATTTTAGTATTTTATAAATATAAAAAAAAATTATTTTAATGAGGAAAATGAAAAAGAGAATAGTTGCTTAGCATATATAGTTGCAGTTGAAGTTGACAAGGATGATCCCAGTGGCAGTGTCTGCACCCACGTGAACCATCCTTCAATCACTGTCCCCACACAGATCCTCCGTATCCATAAATGGACCCTTTATTACCTCTTCTCTTCTCCTTCAATCACATTAATTCATACCTTTTTCAATAATTCTTCATTTAAAATCCCACTAATTTTTTATTATAACTCAATTTCACCCTCTTTTTTCTGCTTTTTTTTTTCTTCTATCTGTCATCCAGACATTTCCTTGTTCAATCGAATATGGGACTCATTCAATGAAACCTGGGACAGCAATTTCTAATTCTGTTATTTAATCATATTATTTCATTTATTCTATCGTTCTTCTTATTTTGTCCTTTTTATCTCTCAGTTTCAATTTTTCTTAGTTGAATCAAATTTATTAAGACAATTATATACAACACATCCTTGAAGAAATTGAGTGTGAAAGAAACTTTTTTTTAATGCCCTTTGGTCATTTAAAAGAAAATATACTATTATTATTATTATAGTACTTACAAAATTGTAATTTTGCTTTATATCTATCTTATATAGAAAAATTTATTTTAGTCTTTATTATTTTAAAAAATAAAATAATCTATTTTTCAGTCGTCACTATTTATGTCATGTGTCTTGACGGGAAAAAATATTTAAATGTAACTGATACAAACAATAGAAACAAAAACAAAACTAAAAATATTGTAAATATTTACATTGTTCTTATTGTATTACCCTACCTTATAGTATATTAACGAAATCTTGTATTAAAATAAAAACTCCTATTATGTTTTCTCTCGTTTGAATCCTTGACTTTCCAGCAGTTTGTTGTATCTATCAATTACTGCGGTGTACTTGAGCTGTGTTACCGTTCTCCTTTGTAAAGTGAGAAATATTTTAGAGACTTAAAACGAGTGGCCCAAAAGATGTGCTGTTTCCACAATGAGAGGCACGTGTGGCCTCGCTCCTCTCACGTGAACATCCACAACATCCACGTGCCTTTACTCTCACCTTAACCCGTTTTCTCGTTGTCCTCTCTCCTATATCCTATAAATTCAGAGCCTGTATCTCACATCCTAGACACACAGTAATCACCAATTCCTCACAATTCACCGCAAGCATCAACTTTTTCTATCTATTTTCAAACCAAACCCTTTTCACTCTCTGGCCACATCGACTTCTTTCCATTTCTTTCTTTCTTATTTTCTGTTGTCTTCTCAAATACATACATGCATACAGAACATACCCCTCACAGACATCAACATAGAGATTTTTCTCCCTTTCAAAAAAGAGCAAGAAAAATAATTAGGAGAAAGGTTTGACAAGAATCGAAGAAAGTGAGAGAGAGAGCAAGAATCTTCATCTTTCTGCATGTTGCGTACAGAATCTTTAAAGCGAAATCCTGCTTACGTTAACCCACGACGCTGTTCCAAGATTTTGTTCTTTTCTCTGGAACTTCCCAACATTCTTCTTCCTCTCCCTCACCCACCATCACCACCACAACCCCACAATCCAATAACTCATCATCATCATCAGCATCATCGTACACTACACACATGACATGCATGTATCTTCATTAATTGCTCAGTGAAACCACACGTACACCGGGTAGTGTAGCTACCTAGCCTGTGGGGTACTTTTCTAATTAATTATTATCTTCTTCAATTAATGGCCGTCAACAACAACAACAAGCTTCTTCTCATAACATTCGCCATATGCCGTCTGATAGTAACGGTGGGATTAACGGTGCTCCCGGAGCTGCTCGATGTGGGACTGGAGGGTCGACTGAGCGTGGACACGTGGGAGCTGGAAGCGGCCTCTGTGGACTTCGGGAGGCTGAGCAGAGGGGTGCCTTCAGAGGTGGTGCACCCTGCGACGGCGCAGGATGTGGCGAGGGTGGTGAAGGCGGCGTTCGAGTCGGCGTTGGCGGTGTCGGCGAGGGGACATGGACATTCGATAAACGGGCAAGCGCTGATAAGAGAGAAGAAAGGGGTGGTGATTGAAATGGGAAAGGGTGGTGGCGGTGTTAGAGTGTGTGAGAAAGGAATGTATGTTGACGTGTGGGGTGGAGAGTTGTGGATAGAGGTTTTGAGTGCAACATTGGAGTATGGGCTGGCTCCCATGTCTTGGACCGATTACTTGTATTTGTCTGTGGGTGGAACCCTATCCAACGCAGGAATTAGTGGACAAACCTTCAATCACGGTCCTCAGATCACCAATGTTTACGAGCTCGATGTGGTCACAGGTAATTCCCATTCTTCACTGTTAAAGCTATCATCTTGTGAGGAGTAACTCTCACCGGTTACAACCACGAACTGATTTCAAGCATATGTAATCATTTTTTTGGACATGCTTGTTGTTTGTGCATTTTTATATTATCGACATGTTTTGTTATGTAATTGTTGGCAAAGTTGGTGGTTTTACTATTAAAAAAAACGGTGCGAACTAGTTGTTCCTCAGGGGGGAAAAAGTTTTGAGTAATTAAACAGCGGTGTCCCACTGGTTTGTCATGGTGCTGGGTACGAATGAATCTGGTTTGTCTTTAGCGTGGTTTATTACAAGTGTGGTAAGTTATTGGTATGATAATGGGAAGTGGTGTAACAGGAAAGGGTGAGCTGGTGACATGTTCAGAAGATCGTAACTCGGAGTTGTTCCATGCTGTTCTTGGCGGTCTTGGACAATTTGGAATCATCACAAGGGCTCGAATTGCTCTCGAACCAGCTCCTCGCAGAGTATGTCTCTCTCTCTCTCTCTCTCTCTCTCTCTCTCTCTCTCACGTACTTTCTCTTTCTTTGTCTCCTTTTCTTGCACACACTTGTACACCACCCAATTCATTTCATCCTACTCACTCGTCACCTCTCACAGACTGATAATTTCTTAATGCATACACTACAATTGCACTCGTCATTTTTTTTTTGAAAAGCAGCTTACTCAGTGTAAATAAACTTGGAGTGTAAAAAAATGGTAAATGTTATTTCCTTTTTCCATCCGAAGAAAAAGTCGGTTGAAGATGACAACCATGAGATGATAGGAGGAGCACACGATACGTCTTTTCTCCAAAATCTTTCTTCACATCAGCGACAAAACCTAAAAAGGGTCGTTTTCGAAGGGACGGTTTAGGTTCCTTATGAGATAAAGTTAGATTTCTCATTTAGTGTTGCTCGCCTGGACATTCTCTAAACTAGTTAATTAATTTCTGATAACACTATCCACAAAGGAATATTAACAAAATTATACATAAAAAATACTATAGAGTTACTGTACATGTCTATGGCTGAATGAGTATACAAGTAGATGTGATGTTAAAGTTTTGTTTATGTAAGATGTATAATATATATGATGAAAATTGAACAGGTTCGGTGGATTAGAGTTTTGTATTCGAATTTTGGAAGGTTTTGTGAGGATCAGGAGTATCTGATTTCTCTGCATGGGAAACCAGGGAGGGAGAGATTCGATTATGTGGAGGGTTTCGTGATAGTTGATGAAGGGCTGATAAATAATTGGAGATCTTCGTTTTTTTCACCAAGTAACCCTGTTAATATCACTTCCCTCAACGCCGACGGAGGTGTTTTGTACTGCTTGGAGATTACAAAAAACTACGACCAAGAAAACGCAGATTCTGTTGACGAGGTACACACACAACCCAACATAGATTTTCTCTTCTTTCTCACTCTCACTTATAATAATAATAATAATAATAGTATTATTCACTGCCATACACTTAGTGCGCTGTGACCATAAAATATTCATATATCATCAGTTTTTATCTTAGTCTATTCATGACGTGTTACTTTTATTAATTACTTTTAGTTTCATACATTATGTATCATCTGATCACTTTAATGGCGAAAGAGATTCCGGTAAAGAGTAAGGAAGAATATATCAAAACCTGTTTTTCTGATTGAAAATGGAAGGATAAGTTTCTAACATTAAATCAACGTGAATGCAAAAGAGGTCCAATATATGAAAGGAGAAAAAAGTGTAACTGGAAAACATGAATGGACAACATCGATGCCATTGATTTGAACATCAACAACAACAAAAAAAAACATTGATTTGAAAAGCAGACAAACATGACAGAACGGAAATAGCATTATGCAATAACAGTTGTTTTACGGCATTAAACTTGAATGTTTAGTCAGACACTAGTTTGTCTTTTCTTCAAACCATTCTACTATCCATGAAAGGAACATTCACGTTCTGAAACGTAGTGAGTTGTTACAAATTTGAATGCTGTTTTGAATGTTCTGAAATCCTCAATTACTGTCACTTTAACTGTATTTTTGTCTTCCATTATTCTTTTAAGTCGATGAGAGAGCGTTGTATAA